AGGAAGAAAGGAAGGAAGGAAGGAAAGAAGAAAGGAAGGAAGGAAGGAAGGAAGGAAAAAAGAAAGGAAGGAAGGAAGGAAGGACTAAAATTTCTCAGGGCATCCTCTAATCTAAGCTAAAAAATATTAGCTTCTATAATCAACTTCCCTAAATGAAAATTAGAGTTTCATCAATCTTGGCAAGTCCTTTTGACAGACAATGGGAATGGCAGACCATCCTCAGAAGTCCGAAGGCTGGATATTGCGTTTTGTCTGGAGAACTCACCAAGAGAAGCATACAGCGGCTTTCTTTAACGGCGCCACAGCATCCCAGGAAACCCAGAATCATGATGATAGACCCCACAGCAATCAAGATGTTCACAGAAATATAGGGGCTAGTGGCAAAATCCCCAGAGTTGAGAATCTGAAAATAAAAAAGAGATTAATGACAGAAAATCCCTTTCTTCAATGTCAGTTGTTCAACAAATATACACTGGGTACTTAGTATGTGCCAGGCCCCATTCTAGCACCTTGAGATACTTCAGTGATCTACAGAAGCAAAAAAATCCCTGCTTTCAAGGAACTTACATTCTATTGGGGTGTTACTTACCTGAATAACATTTCCAACTTATATTTTTCTAAGATGATATATTGGATGCTGTATGTAAGAAATGCAATAGGCTTTTAAAATGCCAATTATTTTTAAAAGCTTAGAAGGATAGGTACTTTCACCCGTGATGTGACCTTCGGTTTGCATATTTTGTGTTTTATACATAAGAGTCACATAGTAAAGCATGTGTTTTTTATGGCAATTTAATTATTTAAATTAGAAAGGCAAGTTCCTCAAACTACCAAGAGACCCAACAATATGAATGAATCTTAAAAAAACATTATGGTGAGCTAAATGAGCCATATTCAAAAGAGTGATTGCTGTATGATTCCATTTATATGACATTCAAGAATAGGTAACTCAGAAATCAGAGCAGTGCTTGACTTTGAGTAAGACAGGAAGGAAAGAAGGAACTGACTGCAAAGGGATATGAGTAAACATTTATGGGTTGATAAAAATGCTTTGCATGTTGTTTGTAATAGTAATCACACAGGTCTATACATTTGTCAAAACAAACTAAAATATTTAAACTAAGAAAATAAGTCTAGATCTTGATATTCCACAGAATTCTATCTCCTTGTCCCCAGAAGGTAGGGTCTTTAGAGTCTTCAGAAACTCTTTATTTTGCCTGTTAATCAATGGGATATTGAGGAAAACATCCTAGGGCTCCTTATATGGGCTTGGGCTGCCCTTCCTGCGTAATTCAGTTCTTCTCTCCAGCAATACACATACTCTGCTTCATCACCTTCGTGATCCCTAGCCTCAATTTACCACTTGTCCTCCAGATAAATCACAAGCGAAAAGTGAAGCCTCGTGCCTATACTGTTCATGAGCGCTCCTTGAACCTCATCCATCTTGTCTGATCTCTATCTACTGGGCTATTTCCAGGGAGAACACTCGTTGTTAAACTAACTCAGAGACTCTGCCTCCTAGATTCTGCTGCACAGCATGTGGGTCAGCTCCCTTAACAGGAAATACATTAAAAAAACCAAACAAACTACTAATAATGATGTGTACGTTTTTAAAGACTTTAAAAACCAGCTCATAGCCTAGAGGAAAGCTTCATTCAACAATCAATAGGAAGGAATGTGCTGAAACTGTAAAAGCATTAAAACAAAGATTTATACTCTAGTCAGCGTCCTTATATATAAACTAAGGTTCTAACCCTGGACTAGTCAACTAATCCTGTGAAAGGAAACTGGGTCACCCTCTGTAATCGCTGAGGCCCCCTTTGTCTCTAAGAGTCTATACTTACAGGTAATGCTTCAACTTACATATTTAGAAAGCTTGGTTCTGTCCTAAAGATTTTTTGTTTGTTTTTCAGGTTTTTTGTTTATTTGATTGCTGTTTGCTTGTTCATATTGGAGCTAAGAAATCGGTTTTGTTAATAAACATGCATGGCACCTGGGTCAAAGTAGATAATGACCAAAAAAAGCAGCATTAGGAAACCCCCTCTCCCCACTCACCATCAAACACCGCCCTAGAAGGTCATGGCCACTGCAGGTAAACCAGAAGGCGTCTGAGAGGGGTAAGTCACTGTGTGAGTTGTCAGAACTTGGCTTACAGGCCACACAGAAATAACAGGTCAAATACCGACAGGTGGGACAGCAGAGTGCAGCCAGGCAATGAGGCAGTTCTATAAGACTGGTGTGGGCAGCGTGATCCCCTGCCAGAGACTGGCCGGGAGGCAGTGTGTTGGATGCCTGGGCGGTTGCTGTTCCAAGCCCAGCCCAACAGGCAAGAAATGGAAATCTGAGTTCAGGTGTTTGCTCCAGGAAAGGGACAGCAGAGTTTTAAAAGCTGTCTTGGATGAACAGTGTCTGTGTGTGTTAAGACAAAGGGAGAATTTCTAATGGCTGAACCTTGAGGGAGAGGGCTCAGGGTGTTCTGTGGATTCTAAGAGATCACCTGAGACTAGAATGGCTGCGCCAAAGGCTTTGCCTCGGGTCACTGAGTTTCCCTGAGGGAAAACAAAGTGTCCTAATGAGAGACCCTTTCAGCACAAAGAGATATGCTAAAAGTTGTGCACAAAGACCGCCCTGACATTCTTTCTTTTTGCCCTCATGCTCAATGCTTTTCCCTCTAAAACTGTTGCCTCTGTCTCTCCACTACTAAAATTCAGTTCTTTGCAGTCTCGATTCTTTGTCACTGACTTCAGATAAAGATAAATCAAGCCAATTTCACAGAAGTCAAGCTGGTTAGGGGTGTCCTAGCAGATCCAGACTTTCATCCAGGGCTCGAGGCTGACAGAGCACAAGAGTCAAAATGCACCCGAAGATGCTTCCTCACTCTGAGTTCATTCCATGTCCCCAGACGTGGAGCCCCACCCTCTCAAGGACAACAATTTTCCTTTAATACGTTCAATGTGTGGAATTTCTTAACAGACTAAACACCAAAGTTGTTTACCAGAAGCACTTGGGGGAAAGAAAGTGTTCCCATATCAACCAGAAATAAAATAAAATAAAAGACAGGCTGCACACATATCTTAAAAAGGCCAAAGCACCCTCTGAATAGGTGGCTGTTTAATGTCTATGCTTAATTATGCGTCCGAAAGTCAAACATCAGCTTCTAGACACCAGAGATTCAGCACATCTTCAAATACCCTTCTTGAGTTCAAACCCAGAGCCCAAGGCCACCAGGAAGTCACAGTTAACATTTATCAGTACAAAATCAGAAATGAAATCCAGATGGGCTAGGATGTTAGCAACTAGTTGCCACACCTGTCCCCCACCCAATTTCGTCACCGTGGGTAGGCGCACAATGAGGAAGCTGGTAACGGCTACTGTGATTCCTTGGGTTCTCCAAGGGTAGAAAGCCGATTTTAAAAAGAGAAGAGGAGACAGAGAAGGAAAGGAGGGAGGGAGGGAGGGAGGAAGGGAGAGAGAGAGGGAGGGAGGGAGGGAGGGAAGAAAGAAGGAAAGAAGGCAGGCAGGCATGAAGGGAGGAAGAGGCAGAAAAGCCACCCAGTTGAGGAAAGGAATCAGAATAGATGTTAATTTGCTTTTAATCTTTCTGACAACAAGGCTGTCTCCAAAGGCATTTAGCTTCATCACGGCATAATAAGTTTTTGTAGAAAATACATTACTTTAATTGCTGGCTTAATATATCTTAATAATTATCAAATAAGGATCAAAATTCCTCTTAGAGGCAGAAACTTTATTTGGGCAAATAAATACCTTGAAAAGGCTCTAGCAGTGGAAGATGGGATCCTGAATAGCGGCAAGGGCCCAGACCACAGAGAATAAGGGAAGTGCCGTGCATGCGGTTAAGAATAATAATTTGGGGGGTGGAGTGCCCCAGAGAAGAAGGGGGAGAGTAGAACGGAAGCAGGGGAGCCAGGAAATGATGCCAGCTGTTGTGTTGGGTAAAACCAAAGGAGAAGCTCGCGCCTTCCCCTTTTTTCCCTCAGGCACTCTCTCACGTCCGCAAAGGTGTATGTGGTGCAGAACAGAAAGAGCACGCACGCGTGCGATCCAAACACTGGAGCCAGAATTAACTCTCTGAACTAAACTTCGTCCTGACCTGTGACATCTTGGTGAGAGCTTTGCCAAGGGCATGGAATGGGGCGTGGTGAAGGGGCTCGTGCTAATCGATAGCAAGAGGCTGGACACCCCCAGCCAATGAGTCACCCTAGCGGGACCAGCCCCTTACTGTTCTGAGGAGTCACCCTCGATGCCGGTTGGCACAGGTAATTACCAACCATCTTTGTACCTTGTTGCCTTTAAAACACAGATTCAAATTCTTCTTCTCCAAGAGAACTTCTCATCTTCTTTACTTTTGGACCACCCTCCCACCTTGGGATCAGCCGAATGATGGTCAGTACCTCGTACTAGAGACATTGGTGTGGAGGAATGGTACCCCGTATCCTCCAGCTACACTTCAGGCCGGCCTTCTGCCAATAACGAAGGAGCTGGATTTCCACTCTAGCCCCTTCTGACCTCCACGTTCATGGCAATCTTCCTATCTTTGAAATAACACCTCTCCATTCTCCAGAAGGATTGATCCATGCCTAGCAGAGTGCCAGGCACATAGTGAGTAATTTTGATTAATTAAATTGAATTAAATTATAAAATCATATACCAGCACAAAGGACTACATCAGGCAGTTAAGGAAAAGGCTATGGAAATATTTATATTATTATTGTCATTACTTTCATCACTATAAGAGAAATAAACTACTTTGGGAGCAGAGAAGCTTCTATCTATTTATTTACCTCTTGACCATCTTTGCTAACTCGTATCCAAATTGCTGCTCCCAGGATCAAGATGCCACATAGCTGCAGAAAGAAAAAAAAAAAATGTTAGAGGACAACAGAGACAAACTGTGACTCTGAACACATCCCTGGACGTCTGGTCACCGTGGCTTACCATTTATTATACATTACCACCTAAAAGACGTAAATCTGGCATATTCATGTGTAGGTAACTGCTAAAGCATTTCACTAAAATTGGTAAATTGGTTAAGAATAATTGTGTTTCCCGTCCACAGTCCATTCATGGGTCTACAGACAAGAAGTCATCACCCTTACGGGGGAGGGGAACAATGATTTTTCATGTTTCAATGCTAACTCTGTGTTTTTGCTAGATTAAAATATATGAAAGATAAGTCACAACAGTTTAAAGACAAAATATCTTTACTAGACCCCTGGGTTTGTCTCAGAAGCTGTCTTGGACCAAACAGGAAGAAAAAAACTAATTATCAAACATTCCTTCAAGATTCTAGAAGCAAGAAGTTGGGATAGACAGGGAACAGTAGTACATTGGACAAAATCTGCAGGTAAGCAACAAGGGTTTACAACACTTTTTGTACCCAAATAAACTCTTTTAAAAATAAGCTCTTTTAGGTCGTAAAGCTTACCCAGAGAGGAGGAACAATGGGCAACAGTATTTAAACTCTTAAATGCATTTAATGACTTTCCCAGATTATTTAATTTGGACCAAGTCCAGCACATAAAATGTGAAACACATTTTACTTTTGTGTAAGGAAAACCCTTGTCTTTCAAGATTTGATTTTGTTTTGTTTCATTTCAGACATATATATGTTATAGCCTCAAAAAAAAAAAAATAAAAGATCTATTATTAAAGAGAGATGTTGAGAACAAGTTTGATAACAGCAGACACAGCAGCCCTTGCAAGATTTTCTAGACTGTTCCGGCCATGGGGTGCTCTGACAGAGAAATTCCTGAGTCCTCGGAAGCTCGCTGACCTTATCGTATCATTGCTGTTGTGCTTGGTTGAGCGATATGCCTGCCATCTCAAAACGGCCGGCTCAGGGGCGCCTGGGTGGCTCAGTCGTTAAGCGTCTGCCTTCGGCTCAGGTCATGGTCCCAGGGTCCTGGGATCGAGCCCCACATCCGGCTCCCTGCTCCGCGGGAAGCCTGCTTCTCCCTCTGCCCCTCCCCCTGCTCATGCACTTGCTCTCTCTCTCTCAAATAAATAAAATCTTTAAAAAAAAAAACAAAAACGGCCGGCTCACTTTTAACGGCTTCTCATTAAGTCTGCCGTGCATGTAGAGTCAAAGGCTTTTAAGGAATAGGGAGTACCATGAGCAGCTGAAAAATCAGAGAATATCCGTGTTGCCTAAAAGATTTCAAAAAAGTCATCTAGGTTCAAACCCTTCATCTCAGGTAAAGGAGCTAGAACCCCGAGAGATAACAGTCCCATCATGAAAATCCAGCACCACTCCTAATCCAATCCTGCCCCTCAACATGCTTCAACTCTTACAAAATAACAAAGGCAATGGAAAACCAAAGCTTTTTCTCAAATCACCAAAATAACCTACACAATTTAATTATCTTATAAGCACACACTGGCATACACCATAAAATACAAACCATTGTAAAGACAGCTTTAGAGCCTGAAAACCCTCAGTTTTTCTCCCCCTTTCCACTAAATCCTAATTTCACTTGCAGATGGAGATAAATGCTCATTTTAGTAGTTCTGTGTTAATAAATAAGTCTGTAAGGATTTATGTTGAATGATAATGAGACCCCCAGAGATTTTCAGAATTTACAGCAGTTGGATTTTTGTTTGTTATTTCATTTGTTCACTGGTATTTTCTTTTTCTTCTCAAGTATATTTACATTGATTATCTTAATAGTAGCTCTGGCTTTTAGCTTTAACTGAACATAGCACTAATTATCCAAATAGCTATTATGATTATTATCCTCATCCGATATTTATTTATGAGACTATCAGTGAGAAAACTGTAGAAACTCCTAGAGACTAAGGCTGTGGTTTTTTAAACCCTTAACTTTTTTGTTCATCTCTGTGTGCTTTAGTTTACCTTTTCAATCCTTTCAGATATCAAGTCATTGATTTCATTGACTTCAAAGTCATATTTCATTGACTTCAAAGTCATATTTCATTGACTTCAATGAAATCAACCATATTTTCCCTTCAAATGGTAACTTTTAGTCTTCTCAGCCACCAATGTCATCTGTAACACTAACTTTAAAAGAAGGAGTATCAAAACCACAACACACTATTACACACCTATCGAAATGGCCAAAATCTGAAACACTGACAACCCCAAATGCTGACAAGGATGTGGAGCAACAGGAACTCTCATTCAGTGCTGATAGAAATGCAAAATGGTACAGCCACTTTCAAAGACAGTTTGGCAGTTTCTTACAAAACCCAACATACTCTTACCCTATCGTCCACCAATCATGCTCCTTGGTATTTATCTAAATTTATGTCCACACAAAACCTGCACAAGGATATTTATAGCAGCTTTATTCACAATTGCTAAAACTTGGAAGCAGCCAAGATTTCCTCCAGTAGGCGAATGGATGGATAAATAAACTATGGTACATCTAGACAAGGGAACGTTATTCAGCACTAAAAAAAAAAATGAGCTATCACACCATGAAAAGACATGGAAGAACCTTAAATCCATATTACTAAGTAAAAGAAGCCAATCTGAAAAGCCTACATACTGTATGATTATGACTCAATGACAATCTGGAAGAGACCAAACTATGGATTAGTTTTAGATCTTAAAAGATCGGGGGTTGCCAGAGGGGATACAGAATGAATAGATAGAGCACAGACGATTTTTAGGCAGTGAAAATACTCTATACAATATTATAATTCTGGATACATGTCAATGTCATTATACATGTGTCCAAACCCATAGAATGTACAAAACCAAGAGTGAAACCTAATGAAAACTATGGTCTTTGGGTGGTTATGATATGTCAATGGAGGTTCATCAGTTGAAATACATGTACTGCTCTGGTGAGTGATAGAGATAACAGGATAAGCAATGCATGTGTGGGGGTAGGGTATATGGGAAATTTCTGTACCTTCTTCTCCATTTGGCTGTACACTTAAAACTGCTCTAGAAAAATTCAATTTATTTTAAAATTATTTTTAGTAATTAAAAATTAATTTTTAAAAAGAAAAAGAAAGAAGGGCGCCTGGGTGGCTCAGTTGGTTAAGCGTCCCGACTCTTGATTTCAGCTCACCCTGCTCACATGCTCTCTTTCTCTCTAAAAACGGAAGGAAGGAAGGAAGGAAGGAAGGAAGGAAGAAAGAAAGAAAGAAAGAAAGAAAGAAAGAAAGAAAGAAAGAAAGAAAGGGAAAAAAAATAAAGAATATCCAATTATTTTAGAAGTCAAGAATATTTTGTCCAATTTCAATCTTTACAATTCGCTAAATTTTCTTAGAAATTTTCAAGTTGGATAAACTCTCATTTCAATCCCTATCTATCTTTTCTTCCAACTTCATCTTAAAAACAAAAGAAATGCATGTTTAGAATATGCCATTCTCATCTTAATGAAGAATTTAGTATAAAAATCAGTCTTAATTTAAATTATTAAATGTTATACTGACTTTAAAAGTAAATGGATTTTCTATCTAGAATAATAATTCTAGAGTCATGATTGATATTAACCTATTTTATCCCAACTGTTACCAGACTGGCTATCATAATGGTTCTCAGAGCCCTTTTCCAGTTTGGCTTTAGGTCCTTGTCGCCCAGCCTACTTATACTGTTTAAATAATTGAGAGTATAAATTAAGATATAAGTATCTAGCTCTGTCCTACTTTCTGTTGACCAGGTTGTAAAAGGAAATGAGTTGATACTTTGGGCCACCAACTCAGCAGACAGTGGACACTGCAGAACTGACCTGGCCTACTGTCCCCAAGGCCTACCTTCCGGTTCCTCCTTGAAGGCAGTCATTGTGGTTATCAGTCAGCTCCTATATCTTTCTTTTTATGGAATTAGGATGCAGTTGGTCTGAGCCAACATTCTAAAAAATTAGGCAATAATTTTGATGTTTGCTTATGAGCATGCTATGGACTGAATTACATCCCCACTAAATTTACAAATCAAAGCCCCACCTGCAGTTTGTATTTTGAGTTTGGGCTTTTAGGAGGTAATTAAGATTAAATGAGGCCATCAGGGTGGGGTCCTAATCCAATATGATTGATGACCTTATAACAGAGGAAGAGATCTCTCTCTCTCTGCACAATGCATGGAACAAAAACCATGTGAGGACACAGCAAGAAGACAACCATCTGCAAGCCAGGAAGAGAGCTCTCACCAGAAACCAAATCGACTGGTGCCTTGATCTTGGACTTCCAGCCTCCAGAACTAGGAGAAAATAAATTTCTGTTGTTTAACCCACCAAGCCCAGGGTATTTTGTTAGGGCAGCCCAAGCAGTCTAAGACAGGGCACAAGTTGACAACTATAAAGTGTCAGGAAGAAAAAGGGAAGCACCATCTAGAGCAAAGATAAAAGGTATAGAACCAGCTGATTTGTCCTCTTCTTGGATACGGCGTCCGCCAATCATCCCTACTCCCTCCCTCTCAATTCTATCCTTTGATTTTATCACGGTGTATTTGAAGGATGTTGAAAATGGAAGAAAGTGCGTAGCACTCTGCTAGGGGGAAGTGTGGATCATGAGCTCTATCATTATTGGCCCAGAATGGACACTTTTTGGATAAGCTTAAGGGAAAGTTTCCTGTACTGCTCCTGAAAGGTTGTAAAAGAATAAGGGGCACCTGGGTGGCTCAGTCGTTAAGCGTCTGCCTTCGGCTCAGGTCGTGGTCCCAGGGTCTTGGGACCGAGCCCCGCATCGGGCTCCCTGCTCCGTGGAGAGCCTGCTTCTCCCTCTCCCGCTCCCCCTGCTTGTGTTCCCTCTCTCACTGTGTCTCTCTGTCAAATAAATAAATAAAATCTTTAAAAAAATAAAAAATAAAAAAATAATAAAAAATAAAAGAATAAGAAAATATCCAAATGCATAACCTGGATAACTCCAAGATTTG